AATCCTTCTCTTTGATGTTCCTTCTCTTTGATGTTACCATGTCCTTTATGTGACACAATTTAGACTTGTGTTTTTCATAGTAAATTATTTAAGTCATTCTCTCTTTTAGTCTCGGTTTATAGGTTCTACAACTCCAAAGAATTTCAAAATGTTATTAAATCTGAGTGACTTACCACATGTTGACTTGCAATATTGGAAAGTCATGGTTTTATGGCATGGAAAGACACACGGAGTTTGTGAATATTATAAATATTATGGTTTTATACTTGAAAACCAAGATTCAAGCTGTAATACATTTTTGAAAAGAGTGTTCCCTCTGCATATGCTTGGTTGTGCATAATGGCAGGTTTTATAACCAATACCAGTGAAGACTAATTCACTCTTTGAGCATAAGACAGTGACTCATGCTGCTGCTCGGTATTTGTCGATGTGTATAGGAATATTTGATTTCTTCAGTAAAGAAATGTAATCTAATTACACAATGATACGCTTCCATTTGGGTTTTATCTAAATGTTGGCTCAATGGTATTAAAGGATAAGCTCTACCAGCAGAACTATTCAATTTCAATTTGGCAATTTTTTGATTTGTTGTAATACATTATGTATTCATCTCAATGCTGTGTGTTGTCACTGATCAATGTATGTAAACAGTACAACCTGAAATACAGTTTTTAATGTTTTTGTAATTGCTTGTCTATTATGCAAATGCAATTATTTATCAGGTTTTCAAATCCTGTTTGAACTTCTAGTTCATTAAGTCAAAGGGGATTGAAACAACTCAATGGACTTGTAACTCAGTGAAGCTGGTGCATTGCTGTAAATGACAAACTAGCATTGGCATTTTGAAAAGTTGCATCAGCCCTGAAGCATACAGTATGACTGTGCACATTTAGAAACAGAAACAAGTTTCCAATGCTGCTTTCCATTTATTGCTGTAGTTCATTTGCTTGAAAATAATTTGATAAATCTATACACGTTCTTCTAAAATGTGCTGTTTTTTCTTTGCTTTAAAAAACGCCAACTTTCCAGAAGAAGTTGTTGCAGCCCACAAAACGAACAATGTTCAGCAAAGAGTTGCGGCGTTGGCAGCATGTTGGTTAAGAGGTCAAGCTTTGCTGGGGGGACGTTTGAACTATTTTTTTGAAAACACAAAATAACTCTTTGAAATCATATTATTGGATTAGTCCTCCTTTTGTTTCTCCTGCAAAGACATAGTTACTTTCATATCTGCAGTGGATTCAGTGTTATAGATTCTACGGCTCCCTCAAAAAAGATAAAAGTGAATAAATCAAACGGGTAAAAGAGCAGCCAGACTCTCCACTACAGACATTACAAAGAGATCCTCAGCTGATGTAAGCCTGCTGTCATAGATGGCATATTTTGAACGTCTCTCTGGGGAGAGTTTGGGCGAATTCTGGGTGTGACATAGCGTCTCAAAGTCTATCTTTAAAAATGACGTTAGGTGTGACCACACTGTCTAACAGCAACACATGGTGAAACTCTCTTGATCAACATGTCCTTAAGAAAGAACAAGAAGAAGATCAGTGAGGGGTCTTTGTTTGTTCTTTATCCTCATTTAATATATGGAAATAACTCTATGTTCCACAGAATTTTTAAATGACTGGTGCGGGAGACAAAGGCAATCATGTTCTGTTGCTGCATTAGAGAACTTAGTGGGATTTGCAGAAAATCATCCTCATTAAGGGGCTATTGGCAATTTGTTCCAATCAAATCAACCCCTCTTTCTTTGCAAAAACATTTCACTCCCTGCTGTTGCTACTTGACAAGAGTTCAGTCTGGTTCAACTCTCCTAAGAGGAACCCGAATGTGTCCTGGAGGAGCAATGTCACAAAGGACAGATGGTATGGGTAGAATAATCTGTCCTTTGGATACTGAAAGCATGCTTGCCAACTGTTTTATGTTGGAAGGGAATGATCACAAATTCACTTTATGTGAGAACATAATTCATTTCAGAAGGGTAAACCTTTCAGAAGGGTAAACCTTTCAGCCATGTATTAACCACTGGCCTTATTTAATTAAAACATCCCTGTTTGGAAAAAAACAACATTTTTGTGAAATATGGAGAAGGGAACGTTAAAAAGTGCAGACTCACTTCCTGCTTTCATGAGGACAAACTCTAAATCTCTATTATGATTCTGACATTATCAGACCTTAAACGCCGTTATTGGTTTAAAGTACACTTGAAATCCTTGGATGTTTTTCTTTTGGACAGCCTAATGGACAAAGCGGGTGCCTCTGTAATAGCCCAATCAATAACCTCAAACTCTTCATGATGTGTAACGCATAATGAGATTTTTCATCCAAGACTGAATGGAGCCTCATTCAGTTGGTTTGTCGAGCGAGAGCAGGGCGTCTGATCACTTTCAACAGTCATGCACTCTTCATTTCTCTCAAGGCAAGCTGGAAATTGGACATGGAATCTGAGCTCATGTCTTGGAGCCAGGCTTTTCTCAAAGCTAAAATGAATACATTATGATGTTAGATATGAGCAATACATGTCACTTAGTCTTTCTATATATCTCTACTTCCCTTTTTTTCTTTCTTTCCCTCACATTGCCTATCCTCAAAGCAGGTTAGATGTGCTGCCTCTGGGGCAAAAACCTTTTTTTAATCCATTTAAGTGGAGACAATTTAGCTGAGGCCTGGGTGTCAATGTGCTTGTGATGTTGCTTATCTGTTGCATCAGCCGCAGAGAGTAGCAATTGAAGGCAGGTCAAGTGGAGGTAAATGAGGTTACTGGTAAATGCCGCTGTGGGTGTTGCTCTGCTTTCCCCATTTTAAGATGAGAAAATACCATGACCTGGGCACAGGAAACAGCAGTTAGGTTTGGTGTGAGGACGTGTCTTTGAGAGTAAGAAAGAGTTGGTTTTTGTAATATTATCCCTAATCAGTTTTTCTTTGAGGTTTGCTCGTAAGAGGGATCTAGATAGAATTCAGCAAACCTTCCTCACTGCACGATAAGTCATAAATCACTCTTTTGCACCTGATGAAAAACCGTCCAACCATGAGCAGTTTCATTCACAAAAATGTCACGAAAGACGCAGAAAGAAAAGCTAAATATAACTAGACTTTAAGTGTCACTGACATTGTGTTTTAACATGAAGTGAGGTTCTTAAATGGATTAATGATTAATATCAGAGGCAGTCAATGGGTGATGTGACAGTCACATCCTGTAGATGTCAGAAAATCACAACCTACAGGTGCGTTACACTTTTGGATGTACACAGCTTCTTATATAAATACCCTGAGGCGGAAGTGATAGCATTTTCTAACAGTCACTGAACCGTGCAAGTTGTTAATGGAATAGTGAACAGAACATCAACTCAACATTACATTTTTCTTGGTAATATTATTTTAGTTAACTTCTTAAAATCAAAATTAAGGTAATTTGATTTTAGGACAAACCTGTGTTTTCCCTGGATGCATATGTATAGGCGCGTTCACACCAAGTACTTTTCCCACAAAGGTTCCTGAGAACTCTTTAGTTCTCATGAACTAAGTACAGATCGCGTTCACACCGGAAATTAGTTCCTGCGGGTGGATTAGGCAAATGAAGCCGCTGACGTCACTTCTTCTTCTTCGGCTTTGGGTTTACTGGCAGGCCGCAAACAACTTCACGGCGTATACTGCCGCCCAAAATCCCCGGCCGGAAGTCCCCGGAGTTAGGGACTGGCTTCAGTAGAAGCTGCTGGGACTCCCAGCAGCTTCTACTGAAGCCTTCGGAGTAAACGGCCAGAACGCCGTCAACTCCTCATCTCCAACGCTCCCATGTTTTATTTTGTGTTGTCATAAGTTAGTCTCTCTGCGTTTCTGCGCTGGGCTAATGCTAATGCTAATAAGGCAATGCGAGGATAATAAAATGGCGGCTTCACAAAAGTTTTTGGGAGTTTGACGGGGCGTGGTTTGCATTCCGCCCAGCCAATCAGACACAGGAACCTTTTTCTCCCACAAAAGTCCCTGCTCTCTAGCAGGGACTGAAAAGGGGGTAAAAAAGGTTCTCTAGAACTAATTTAGTTCCTGGACTTTTTGGTGTGAACGCAACTAAATCGTAGTTNCCGGTTCAGATCAGGGGGGCCGTTCCTCCCAATCACTCCCCTCCAAGTGTCTCCATCATTGCCCACATGTGCGTTGAAGTCTCCCAGCAAGATTAAAGAGTCCCCTTCAGGAGCCCCATACAGGACTCTTTCCAGGGTCTCCAAGAAGGCCGTATACTCTGAACTGCTGTTGGGTGCATAAGCACACACAACAGTCAGAGTTTTCCCCCCCATAACCCGCAGGCGTAGGGAGGCAACCCTCTCGTCCACTGGGGTAGACTCCAACAACGAAGCACCCAACCGGGGACTTGTGAGTATCCCCACACCCGCCCGGCGCCTCACACCTTGAGCAACTCCGGAGAAGAATAGAGTCCAACCCCTATCCAGAAGTAAGGTTCCAGAGCCGACGCTGTGCGTAGAGGTGAGCCCAACCAGATCCAACTGGTAACGCTCCACCTCCCGCACAAGCTCCGACTCCTTCCCCCCCAGAGAGGTGACGTTCCACGTCCCCAAAGCCAGCTTCTGTCGCCCGGGTCTGGTCCGTCGAGACCCTCTGCCTTCACTGCCACCCTTCTGGCAGCGCACCCGACCCCATCGCTGTTTCCCGTAGGTGGTGGGCCCGCGGGACGGAGAAGCGGAGGTGTTGCCCACGTCGCCTTTTCGGCAACATAGTATACCATAACCATTTTATGCAATTTTTCATAATATATCAAGTATGATTTTTTATGACATTTTAACAGCATACTACACTTTGTCCCTTTCAAAACCTTTTTTATTTGTGACATATCATAATAAGCACTTTTTTGTCTACTATATTTATTCTACTAAATTACCTTAAGTTTATTTTTTACTGAAATATTTTACTATAACATTTTCATACTACAGTATGAAAGTCAACTTGCACAAGCCTTAAAAAATGTCAGAGAGAGATAATCCATTTAGATCTGGTTTTATTATTGACAAGCGACTCATTGCAAGATAGTACAGGTGTGAGTACAGAATGATATAATATCCTTGAAACAATAAATTAGCAACAACATATACATAAGCAACAAATCACCAGCAACAACACATCAACGGAATAAACAACAAATATACAAAGACAAGACTAATCTGTTGCAGGCAGAGTTACATTTAGTCACTGGACGATTGTTTGAGATTAGTATATTTTGTTCCTGAATATATATCGTTTGGTCCATTTTCTGTTTATGTAACTCGACTGAGCTAGCAGAACTGATGCTAAAATGCTTAGATTTGTACATTTGCTCTCAGCTAACACATCAGTATTTATTTAGCAAATCTCTGAGTTGTGTTCTGCATGCAAATGTTTGAAATGTATTGAGTTTTCCCAGTGGTAAAGTTGCCATCAGTAGATTTTTAAATGAGCTTTAAAATAAGCAATCAAATTACTAAGACACTGAAAAATCATCAGTAAAAAATGTAGAAGACTAATGAGGCTAATAAAGATTCCCTCATGAGGATACCAACCCTATAGTGAGAAAGAGATCAGGAAACTATCCAATGTCAGGTTGAGGGAGGGGCCCACACCTTCTTTCACTGCAACATTCAAATGGCCACACTATTTTCCACCAAAGCAGGGTCCATGTAAGTGTATGGGACCTCCAGGCTCTTGTTTCTGGTTTTGATCACTGTGCTAAATATTTCAAGTTCCCCTTGAAAGTTGCTTATCAGCTTGCAGGGAACTTCCTCACAGAAATGCTCCTCTGGGTAGAGGCCGAGACGGACCTGGGAAAAATGCAACATTAGTGTTACCAAGATGAAGAACAAGACAAAGCTAACATTACTATTGTACATTTTTTTTTTTGTAACTTAAGGTTTCTACAGCACTTTGTCATTTAAAAAATAAGAACAAGTTTCAAGCGAATGCAAATTGACAAATGTATTATAAGTTCGAAGATTCAAAGGTTTTATTTTCATATGCACACTGAAATACTAATATACTTAAGCCATAAAGAAATAGGAAGTTAAATAGTCCAATAAAAAAATACTGCTAGTGTAACAATGGTGCAAGTAAAGTGCAGGAATAAGTAAGTAATGTATGTAAGATAGAGTGAGATAAAACATATGTATATTTAAATAATGTACAGTATAGAATTAATACTGTGTACTATACAGATATAAGGATATTTTGGAATAAACAAATGAACTATTATAGACATACAGTAGGCTATGTGAGTGGTGAGCTCAGGAGTTCAACAGTTGTATCTCCTGTGGTATGAAACTGTATGTTCTCTTTGACTTTATTTAACTAAAGCTGCAGTGGTGTTTAAAAAAGCCAAATATGAACTTGATAGATATAATATTTTCTGAAGTCTAGGACACTTAGGAAGTCAGAGGACTGCTTGCTGAGCAGCCACATGGTGGACATGCCTTGGACTGTTGTGTTGACATCAGGGAATGTTTTCAGCATTGTGGCCTCGCTTGTTTTCCCCTTTGTGGATGGTGGAGGAAGTTGAAGGGAGATGGGATTGTTGGTCATCCAGCCACCATAGTCAAACTGCAATAAAAGAAAAATACAATGTCAAAGATTATAAAACTATTAACCAGCATTATCTTCAAACCATATGTACTGTAACTGATAGTCAGGTGTAAAGGGGAACAGTTAAAAGTAAGAAGGCTAGGCCAGGCAATCCAAAAAGGCGGGAAAACACACAAAGACAGGAAGTAAAAACAGACATGACACTGTGGGAGAAGTCTTTTCAAAAATAAAACAGGAGACAGATTAACAAAGAAATGGACCATGACACCATATCATAGTATTTGCAATCAGATTGCGGAGCTCTCTACACAAGATGCTATGTGTCAGAGTTAAAACATAGGTAAAATGCTATCCCACAAAAAGATTACATTAAGATAACAATGATGAACCTGTCCAGAGTTCACAGTGCTGTCCTGAGCCAGTGAAAATCACCATGGTGACAAACTTGACCAACTCTGCCACGGATGAAAGCCTTTGAGGGATTCCTGAGAATGCATATTAATTGAATATATTAATATAATGTAGAGTAATTATAATATGAAATGAGGACTTGGTGGATAATAACACATCAGCTTGTATTTAAGCACACCTGTGTTTGCCTGGGAGAGGAATCCATGTTCAAAAATGTCTTGAATCCACTGTTGGAGTTCAGAGTCCTGGCTAACCTCAGCATCACTCTTGTAGTAGTGACCAAGCACTCCTTTCACAAACCTGAAAGAAAGAAGACCCAAATAAAAAAACTTTAGTCAATGAAACGGTGGCTTATTCTAATTTGTTTTTTCTCCACTGCAGCCCTTTCTGGGGCTTCCAATACATTGTTTGGCTTTTTATACAATTTTATATCATTACTTTGAGATCCTTTGGGAACAATAATGTCACATAGCAAATGAAAATGGCAAAACAGTTTGACTTCTCTTCCTAGAGATGCTCCCTGCTGCTGCAATACAGCAAATAAGCATGAAATGCATTGAACAATGAGATGTAACAAGGAAGAAACTGTAAACAATACCCAAGACCTTTTTATTTTTCTCTTTTCTGCCTATTAAAATGTAAACAATAGTTTCTGCGACCTCTTTGAGTTATTTCCATATTTTGAAGTAAGCGTGTTACCTAGACTTTCCAAACATTAATTTATTTTGTAAAGTTAGAGAAGTCAGGACCTGCTTACATTTTAAAAGGCACAGAGCACTTCGCTCAGTATTTTGTGTGTTTTTCTTTAGGATGTAAAACACATCACTTCTTCAACTTCTTTGAACTGGAAAGACTTTCTGACATTGTTACTCCTGACATAGGGTAATGAATTGAACTAAACCAGGAAACTTACATTGTAATTTTAGGTTTTTGTTTAGTTTTTCTGTTGCTCATCTAAAACACAATCACTTGTGCAAAATGCAAATATAGTTAAACATGCAAATATAGTTAAACACGTTTTAAATAGCAGTTTTAAGTTAGATTGTTTTGTATTATCACATTGCCAGTGCCAGCAGTACCTCTGAATGATATCCCAAAGCATGAGTCCATCATTCCTGTAGTAGTAGTTCGGCACATCCTCCATCCCACGCTCAGCAATGTCTTCCGGCATGCAGAGAGACTTGTAGGTGATTGAGGACATGGATCTCTTCAGGATTGTGATCATAGCCTCGCCACCAGATGATGCGAACTAGAGTCAAATATGTAAGAAAAAAAGTTAGAGAAAAACACTATACATTAATTATTGTGATGGTAAAGGTCTCAAAGTGTGTTGGTCTTTTCGTACCTGTGTGAAAACTCCACTTGGAGATATGAGAAGAAGTCGAGCTAAGTAGTTGACCTGCAGAGTGTAGCGAGTGTGAGGTATGAGGAGCTGAGGGAAGGAAGGAAAATGTTAATAACACTATTTAACATTGTCAGAATCTGGACACTTCCATAACATTATGTAGCATTCACAAACACTTAAATATAAACACAAACAGCTTTGGAAAAAACAAAAATCATCAAGTTAAAAAAACTAAAGTAAGTTCAGTATTCTCACTTACCTTGTACAGTGGATGCACCATGGGCACGTTGCGCAGCAGTGACACAGCAAAAGCCTCAGCCAGCAGATGAGTGCGCAGCAGGTGAACATTTAGTTGATGCTCGCTGAAATCTGCACTTCTCACAAATATCTTGGCCATCAGCCAGTCGTACTCAGAGTCAGTAGGAAAGAAGATGGGGTTGTCATCTGCTGGAGTCTGCTTCAGCTGCAGGAGAAGAACATTAAATAAAGAAAGGTTAATTCATGGATGGAACAAAATAGTGGAGAAAATACATTTCTTAAAAGGTTTTAAACTTAATTTTACTGAAGAAATCCAGTAAATGTTGCTACAAAATGTATAGTGTAATGTTTAAAACTTAAAATGTCTCAAAATTGGTCATAAACCCAATGACCTGTCCAAAGTACAAATCCACCCTATCTAGCAGTAAATCTCAATACAATCTTAACTGAATAGCAATCGGCATCAGCTTATCATCAGGGGTTTTATGGAGAAGGACAATGGGAGCCATCAAGTGCTGCTTTTTCCCATTGATGACGTTTGCCTTCAGTCCATCCAAACGCTTGTAGTCACGCAGGAAGATGTTGCCGTCCTGTTTATGACATTCACAAATATAACAGGGTTTGAACTTTAACCATCACAATAACAATTTATTTTATGTCAGGTTCTGTTCGATTAAACCCTGATTTTCCCCCTTACATTTCATTTTGAAATACAATTAATTATGGGATCTTTTGTGTACAAATTATACATTTGAGTTTTAAGATATCAAAATAGTAAGAAATTATCCTAACATCTGACATGTTTACATACTTTAATGTTCAAAAAGTGCTTTATTTTTCTGTGCTACAGAACCTCTTTCAGTTTGAAGTCAGCTTATTCATTGGTTTAACCAAAATCCCAGCTAGCAGGGAACGTTCTCAAAACTTTGGCTAACGTTACCTACAGGTTCAAATAATGTTTTAAAGAAATGTTTTAATCTGATGTTCAAAGAACCTTTTTAGGATGTTTATTAATTCAAATAATGTTCCTATAAGGTTTAAGGTTAACTAAGACATAACGTTTTAACTGCAACATTCAGAGGATGTTTTGAGAATGTTATTGCGGCCTGAGATGACAGAAAGTTTTTTCTAAAACGTTCCTTTTATGTGATAATGTTAACCTGCAACCTTCTGAGGATCTTTTTGGGACGTTGTTGGGGTAACATATTATAGACGTTCTTTTATAAAACATTCCCTCAATGTTACATGATAACAAAAGAGGAACGTTTTTCGAAGCAACATTGGGATAATGTTTTCAGGAGGTTATTCTTTTTTGATAAAACGTTCCTGTGATGGCAAATATTAACACAGTCATGGTCAACGTCAGATTTNGGTGTCCGTAAATAGACAGATGATAGATGAATACAGAGAGGAAGATGAAGGGTGAAGACATGCGTCAACAGGGGAAGATATACGAGAAGTTGACAGACGAAGAAGAGAAAGGAAGTAAGAAGGAAGGAAGGAAGGAGGAAAGGAAGGAGGGGATGAAAGGGATGGAGGCGTGGAGGGGGGGGGAGGAATGACCTTCTTTTTTGGTCTGTTTTACCATTTGAGGCATTCACACGCACCTGCAGACACTACATGGCCTTGCTGAAGCACAGGCAACAGCATTCTCCAGACACACACACAACAAACACACACACACACACACACACACACACACACACACACACACACACACACACACACACACACACACACACACACACACACATACACACTTTCTCTCTCTCTCTCTCACACACACACACACACACACACACACACACACACACACACACACACACACACACACACCATGACAAACACGGTAGTTCATGAAAAGATCTGATTCCCTAAGGAAGATGCCCGACATTCCACAGTGAGAAAACTGGTTAAAATTCCTAAATTCCTGATATGCTGGGAAAGTTTCGGGAATTCCAAAAACATTCTGAAAATCTCAAGATTACGAAAACATGCTTCTATGTGCCTGTGAATATTTGTGTGTAGGAGTTTTGAGTCCTGAGACATCCTTGGATACCAACGGGCAGCTGTGAGTATGTGGAGGATCAACACTGTGTCCAAGTGTGTGTGTGTGTGTGTGTGTGTGTGTGTGTGTGTGTGTGTGTGTGTGTGTGTGTGTGTGTGTGTGTGTGTGTGTGTGTGTGTGTGTGTGTGTGTGTGTGTGTGTACAGCTCCTCACTGCTGTGTTAGCGACTGTAGAGCTTCCAACATGTTTCTCTT